GTCCCGGTGTGCCCGGGTCCCCGGCACCGACCCACTGCCCTGCCTCAGCTGCTTTCTCCGTTTCCCGGAGCCTCGCTCTCTGTGCCCTTCAGTGTCTGTTTCTCGATCCTTTGTCGCTGCCTCCCGGGCTCACCGCCCTGCAATCCCGGGGCTCGCCCGCTCGCTCTGTTCTGCCTCCCCGGGTCGCTCTGTTCTTTCTGCCCTAGTCTCTGTGCTCTTTTCCGGGTCGCTCTGTGCTTCCCCGATCTCTCGATTCTCTCTCCCCCCTCCTCCCTCTGGTCCCTCCACCATCTCTTACCCCCACGCACCCCCACCCCTACCCGGTGTCTCTCGCCGGTCTTCTGGAGTCTCTGTCTCCCACTGACCAGTCTCTGCCTCCCACCGTGCCCCCTCCCCACTTCTCTGGAATGCTGCCCCTCTGGTTCTTCCACCCAGGGTGGGGGAGGGGCCGGCCTTTCTCCCCCTTTTCCAGCAGCCCCTCCATGCTGGGCCCCTTAGGTGGAGCGGGCTGCTAGGTGAGGACCCTGTCCCTGCCCGGGCTGGGAAATGAAAGGGAGGCTGCCAGCCTGGGAGGTGGGGGCAGCGCTGGGCCTGGGAGGCTGGACTGCTGCGTGATGGTAATGAGGGCCCACTTTGGCTTCCCAGCAGACCAGGGCAGGAATCCAGAGTGACCTGGTGTGGGGTCTGGAGAATCCAGAGCATTGCTTTGGGGTGGGAGGCCTGGAAGAGCACCCTGGGGTTCCAGAGACATCCTGAATGGTGAGGCACCCCCTGAGGAGGGAAGTCTGCGGCAGGGTCCTTTGGGCTGCATCAGGAGTCTGATGGGATCCAGAGGAGGGTTATCTGACAGGAAACCTCAGGAAATTCTATGCTTGGCTCCTTATTAACTCTTGCTTCAGGGAGCAAGAAAATCCCTGTTTTTTACTGATGATGTGCATGAAGCCTGAGGCTTCCAGAAGGAGCAGGTGTAACTCTTCAAGCACAGCCCCCCACATCTGCAGCCGCAGGCAGGCCACACACTCTTGCCCGGCACACCCTCCCCCGGTCCCCCCAGCCCAGGCTCCTTGCCCTCGCACAGGCACACTTGGCCTGCGGCCTGCAGCGCAGCCAGATCCGGACCTGCCGCGTGCACACCCAAGCCGGCGCCTGTGCTCTCAGCACCCCCTGCACTTCTGGGGAGGCTCCTGCACACACTCTGATGCATGTTTTGCGTGCTGAGTTGTCAGTTATCATTTTGTTACCATTTGAAAGGTCTCTCGTTTTGTTTTCTTTTCCATTGGGTCTTCCTATTCCCTCTCTCTTTTAACAAGGAAATTGTGTCAAAATAAGCCCCTCCCTGGGTTTTCCTGCCCCTGTAGAGCCACCCTCCTCCTCAGTTTAGCTTCTGATCTTGGAGAGGAGGCTAGGTGTGGGTACTCAAGTAGTTTGGGGGGAGGGTTGGCTGCAGCAAGGGCAGGAATTGTATCAATGTGTGCAGAGCAGCCTTGCTCCCTCCCTGTGGGAGTCCCTTGTGGAGGCCACTGGTCAGAGGGAGGTGGGACCGCACCACCTGCTCCCATTTTCAGTTTCAAAACTTGAGGCCCTTCCTTCATAAGACTCAGTTGCACCCCCTGTAAAATGGGCAGCGAGTTCTAGTCCCAGCAGGGTTCCAAGGCCTTTGTGAGCGTCCCAGGGAACTTTGTGACTGACACTGCTGTGTGCTTGGGCCAAACTTGCAGCCAGGGCCCTGCCCTTGAGAAGCTCATGGTCCCTGGGGAGGCAGATTGCATCTTGGGAATGCAGAGCAATTCAGTAACCTTATTGATTGCTGATTGTGTGCCAGACACTGGGCTAGGCTCTTTCAGGCAGGCTGCCTTGTTTCCTGTGAGACTAACAGCTGTGTAAAGAGGCAGCTCGCCCTTTAAGAGCTGCTGAGATTGAGTTGAGCATTAGCTCACCTAAAGCATCTCCAGAGTTTTGAGCTAATGTTGGAAGGTTAGAGTTCATCATGGGGCAGGGGAGAGTATTGGGTGAAATGCTTCCCAGAGGAGACCAAGGCAAGGGCTTTTTGAATTGGGCTTTGAGGGTTGGATAAGAGTTTGCCAAGTTGAAGAAAGGATGCTCTGTGCAAAATATCAGAAAAACTCAGATATTGTCATTTTTCAAAGATAGAAGCGATCACAAACAGGCTTGAAGCAAGCCGTACTAAGGAGCAGAAGGGAGAAACCAAAAGTTTAAAGTTTGTGTAGGGGGGTGTGGCATATGCATTGATAGGATTGATATTCTGGAGAAGCATATGGAGACAGGAGGAGGGTGTGATGAAATCACATGAGAGATGATGGTGACTCTGTTACGGTGGTGGTTTGTATCCTTTAGAAGGCATGTTTATCAGGTCAGGATGATTTATTGGTCGTAGGAACAAAGGAAAAGAGAAAGGTCCAGATTCCTGGGAGTTACCGGTGCGGCCTTTTCTGAAGGCTACATAGCTTCACTAAACTAAAGACTTAGGAAAGGTAGATTTGGGGGACCAATAATGAACTCCTGGTTGTATATACCATTGCTTTTGAAATGCGTGAGGCATTTGAGGTTTGTTGGGGGGTCATTATACACCAGGAGGTGGGGAGGGTGAAGATCTGACCTTGGGGAGAGAAGTTTGGGTCCGAGACAGGACAAGCGTTCATCTCTTGTGTCACCAAAAGAAGGTGGGCTTCAGTGATCAAGAGTCGGGATTCTGATTTCACACTGCCTCAACTTTATTGCACTTGTAAGCAGTGTGACCTTGAGCAAACTGCTTAACATCTCTGAATCAGTTTTCTTGCTTGTCAAATGGGTATAATAAAATCCCATGCCTTGTGGGGTTGTTATGAAGGTTGACATTAACATCAGGCGGGGCCTGGCATCCCACAAGTAGTTGTTACTCTCTTCCTCATCTTCCACTGGGAGGGTCCCAGCCTATCCCCATCAGAATAGGGGAGGCAGCTTTGAAGACTATACATGGTTACGGTCAGGGCTTGCGCTTTTCAAGTAGCTCTAACTTTGAGCTGAAGTTAGCAAGTTGGGGAACCCAGCAGAGTGCCCTGCCCCCTTTCCTCACCATCATCTCCATCGTCATCCATGAGCTCGTGTGTCACTCAAGGAATTTGACCTGCAGGGAGTCTGGTGTGAGCTAGAGGGTGACACCCATGTAGGGAGGTGGAAGGGGATTCTGAGACGGGAACTGTCTCCGCTTTCCCCCATGCCACCTGGACCCTGGCTCCCAAGCCCTGGTGCTCCCAACTTTCCGAGTACCCCGACCTCCAGAGGTGAGGACCGTGGTTTTGGCTCCTTGGCAGTGTTGCAGCTGCCGCTCTGGGAACTTACTGGCGCAGCTGCAGCCCGCATCCGCCTCTCCCTCTGGATCGCACTTGCTTCTGGTCCCGCAGCCAGGCCAGGCAATGACGGAGAGCCCTGCTTGGGCTGCCTTGGGGACAAGGTGACCAGGCCTTGATCCTGATCGCGGCTGCCTGAGGTCTTTTTGGACGTCACTGAGTGGTTCTAGCTTGGGTGTGGCCCCTGCCGTGCTCTCTCTTGAGTCGAGTCCGCTTGGTCTTCTGGGCATTCCCTGCAGGCCTGCATGCTCTGAGCTGGTCTGAAGGCCCGGGGCAGATCTGGGTGCTGCTGCTAACTTGGTGCATGTAAGGGTGACTCTGGTTGCCTGAAGGTTGTTTTGGAGCCGGTTTGATCCGGACGGGTGTGTCCAGATGCTGTTCTAGAACGCTGCCCTGGTGTTGTTCCATGTGTTTTTCTAGTACAAGGTCCTGTGCCTGCTTTTCTGTTCTCTGACCCGCCTCGAGGCTAGAGATGCCATGGGCACGTCTTTCCAGGTGCTGCTTCTGCCCAGTGAAAGTCCAGCCTCCGGGCACCAGGCCTGGTGCTCCTGGTGTGACCCTGGGTATGGCCTTAGTGCCAGCTGGCATGGGGGGCCCTCCTGGATCTCTGCCCTCTGTCCCTCTGCCCCAGGGTCCCTGAGCAGCGGTGGAACCAACAGAGAGCCAACAGCCTTCCATTTGGCACCGAGAGGCCCCAGTGGGCGTCCTCGTACAAACGGGTCTTTGAGCTTGGGACTCAGGAGCTGGTTTGTCAGGCCAGACCTGCCCAGCAGCCTGAATGCTGGGAGCAGCGGCCACAGGGAACTCTGGGCAACTCAGAGGGGTGGGGGAGGGAAGCGGTGGCCCTCCTGTTGTTGATGCCGTGCGGCCAGCGGCCAGCGAGGCTGGTGGGGCTGCAGGGTCGTGCAGATGATCCTGGGTCGTCCAGACCCGTCTTCATCTCGACAGGTCCCACCGTCACATCGAGCCTTTGGTGAGCGAGGATATCCTTCCTGTTGGCAAAGGTGGTCAGTCTTGAGTGAGGACAGGTGCCAGAAGGGGGCGACTGGCCTTGGGCGGGAGAGGCTGCTCCCTGACCCCAGTTCCTGTGTGCCTGTGTTGGCAGGAGGCAGGCGGGATCGATGAGCCCGTGGGGACCTGAGCTGAGAAGAAGCCTGCAGTGAGCGCAGGCTGGGTCGAGTGGGCACCTCTGGTGCCAAGCCGCTGAGCTGTGGCGAGGTGCTGATGACATAGCTGTGTGGGTGTGTCCAGCCCCTTCCCCCACCCGGGACGGTGCCCGTGCCAGTGTGAGCTCAGCAATGATTCCAGAGGGAAGGGGCTGGGCTCTGAGACTGTGCACGCCAGCGGAGGAGGCGTCCAGGGCACGCCTTCATTTAAAAAATTATAGAGGAGCAGAAAGTCAAAAATAAATATTGCTTCTGAAGCTGCTTTGAAGGCTGCATGCAAGCCCCTGGGTTCTTCCAGGCTGGGCAGTTCTCTGCCAACTCATTCATCCACTCATCAGCATTTCCCATCTGAGCACCTACTATGTGCAACTCTGGGGTGCCGGAGGCTACGGGGCCGAGCCCGACTCGCACCGAGCTGATGGTGGTGACTCAGTGGCCAGCACGCCGTCGTGTGAATGAATAAACCCCACGTCCTGGTCGCTGCGCTGAGACCGGGCCAGACACGTAGGCAGGTTTACCTGAGGAAGTACCGTAGGCGCTGAGATCTGAAAGGATCATGGGCCAGAAGACTGTCGATCGTGCGTTACAGGCAGTGTGCCTGGCACAGGCAAGGCTGGGCATAGGCGAGCAAGGCTGGGCACCTGGAGAAGGAAGGAAGGTAGGTTGGCCCGTTGAGGATCAGAAGAGGAAGTAGCGTGGGTAGGTGGGGCTGGGGGAGGGGCGAGGCGCCCCAGCTCCGCTGAGGAGTTTGGACAGCAGCTTTCCTGTTGAGGTCAGGCGCTCGGGCTGTGCTGTTTAAGGCAATGTGCCCGCTGCCCGGAAACAAGCCCAGCACGTAGTAGGTGCTTAAGACTGGGAAGTAAGTAAAGTGGTGGGAGTTTTCAACTAAAGGAATGGTCCTCCACAAACATTTCTGTAACCTCCTTTTTTCCTGCATAAATAGCAAATTTCAAACTTGTCAGTACAAATCAGTTTTCTGTGGTGAAATTCTTAATTTTCTCTCATCCCTTCTCTCTCTCTCTCTTGCTCTCCAGGAAGGAGCGGAGGCCCCGGTGCCCTGCCCTCAGTGCTGATTGTCCAGCAAGAGTGACTGACGTGAGCAAACAGAGACCTGGTGAGTGTGCCCTAAGGTGTGGCCAAGGCAAAGCCACACCGAGCCACTTGGATGTGACATCGCCCAGCAGGGCCGTGGCAAGTGGCCTTTGTGTGTGTTGGGGGGGGGGTGTCTGAGAGATGATGGAGGCCTGGACCAGGAAGGCGGTGATGGAGGTGGAGAGAAGGGATCTGAGTTCTATTTAGGGAGGTGGAGCAGACAGGACATGGTGAACGATTGAATGTGGGGCATGCAGGAGGGGAGGTGTCAAGGATGGTGCCTGGGTTTCTGGCCAAAATGTATGATGGAGGCGGGTGGGGAATGATATACAGCTCATCAGCTGTAGGTGTGAAATAGGCTTCCGGCTGACACCCTGGGATTTACGCGAGTCGGCCTGCTTTTCCATTCCCCAGGCCTCTGTGGAAAAGACTGTTCCCATCGACTAGCGGTGGAAGGAACAGGGTTCCTGTGGGATCTGGGCCACATCCCTCCACTTGTCTCCCTCCGAAGCACAGAGCGATGGGTTGGAGCTGTAGGGCCACGGCTGGAGAATTAGGTTGAAGTCAGAGCAGACTGAGCCTTGGAGGTTGGGCTCAAGACGAGCCTTTGTCCTGAGGGTTATGTGGCGGTGTTGCTCACCGGTCATGCATTCGTGAACATTATCTGTTCACATTTGAGGGCCACGGTCATTGGCCTCTGCAAGGTTATCAGGGAGTTGGTTTGTGAAGGGGTGACCAGAGGCAGGAAGCCCATAGTAGAGGCAACCAGTGTTGCCTCTCCTAACGTGGTCACAGGCAGGGCAGGTTCCGAGTTACCAGTGGGTGTGGGTGTGGGTGTGTGAGAGTGGGTGGATCCTCTCTGGGTCCTCCAGCTAACGGTGCTGGGGACCTGGAGGAGAAGCAGTACTGGGGAGGATGAGCTCTGATCAGGCCATCCTCTGTAAACCATAGGGCTGAGCTCCTGAGTGTCTTGATGGTTCAGGACTTCTGGGCCCCCAGCAGGGCCCACTGAACAGTCCTGAACTGACAGCTGAACGAAGAAGGCTGTGGAAGAGGTAGTCCCTGCCTAGCAGGGGAAGGAAGTGGGCATGTATTGGGACTTGTATCGGCCTGGGGCCAGGCCCTGTGCAGGGTGAGTAGAGTACTGAGGTTATACAGACGATGCCCAGGCATGGGAAGGTCAGGTGGGACAGGTGGGTGTGGGTGTCCCTTCACCTGTCCATCCTCAGATGACGGTCTGGGAGGCCAGTCTCATCCTAATAGGTGCCTGAATGTAGAGTCCTTTGTCCTCTGGGGATGCTGCTTGCTGCAGGCAAGTCTGAAGGGGTGTGGGTGGCGTGCGCTGTGAGGCCTTCTGAGGCAAGACTGATGAGGAGGGAAGGGGCAGATGCTCTGAGACCCTGAGGCCCAGGGACAGCAATATAAGAGTAAGCCGGGGGGGGGGTCTTCTTGGGGACAACCGGGTGATCATAGGGGACTGGCATCTGGAGCTGGGCCGAGGCAGGGTCTTCACTCTCAGTGCTATTGACATCTCAGACCAGGTAGTCTTTGGGGGCAAGGGTTGGCTTGTTGTATATGAAGTCTAGCAGCACTCCCTGTTTCTGCCCACTAGCCGCTGAGAGCACATCCCCCTCTCCCCATTCTTGACCATCCAAAAGTCTCCAGGCATGGCCTAATGTCCCACGGGGAACAGAGGTACTGTCCCGAGTGATTCTGAGAACCTGGGGGACAGAGTTGCCCGAGATCGAGAACCACGGGTCGACACTGTCTCTTGTTGCCTTCGCTGTGCTTTTTGCACATCTGGAAAACAGGAAGGTCAGTCAGCAAAGCCGGCCAGGTGTGGGCCACAAAGCTGAGTTCAGCAGGGTAGATAGGTGACTGGGGGCAGAGGAGGCCTCGTGTCCCAACAGAGAGCACCGCAGGTGCAGAGGCCTACAGGCAGCGCCCTGGCAAGTGTTGCCTCAAGGGGGGCTCCACTGCCCCAAGAAAGGAGGCCGAGGGCTGGTGACTCGGGGCCCTGTCTGTAGGAAGGTGCCTCATCTGGCCCCCGGAGCTAAGCCTCTGCTGGACCTCGTGTCATCTCTAGAGACTGTGGGACCCTCTTCCCAATCTCTTCCACTCTAAGAGGTAACTGAGAAGCTGAGGGTTGCAAGAGGGCAGGGGACCCTGAAGTCACAGGCTGGGTGGGCAGGCGATATCTGGCTGGGCTCCCAGGCTGACCCACAAGCTGCTGCTCGCTGCCTCCTTCCCAGGGCTAGGGTCGTGCCGAGACTGTGATTTATTCCCGTCATAATCGGGCGGTTGGTTTGGTGAGAGTTGGAAACATGTTGGTTTCCCCTTCCCAAGTGTAACAAGGCCTGTTTCCGCCTCCGTGGCCGCTGCTGCAGTGCCACGCGGTGAACTGTCCAGGACATGACAAAGGGCTTGGTTAGCTGCCCGCTAGTTAGAAGAGGAGCATGTCCCTCCAGCCGGCTCTTTCCCCCCACCCAAGGGCATGCCTAACCTCCTGTCGGGCTGCCCCTTGAGACCCTCCTGCTGATGTCCATTTCAGCGGCCCTGAGTCCTGGGGACCAGGGTCCTGGCCTGGGGAGGAGGTTGTGGGAACAGGTGGTATTTAGAGACTAATTAATATTTGTGAATAATAGCACGTGCCCGAGGGAAACGAATCAATCTGTGTTTGCATATTCATGAGGAGGACTCAGGCATGATCCCAGCTGTTCTTCAGCCAGGGAACCCCCCCCCATCTCTGGCGTCACACCATCTTTCAGGGGCTCCCCACTAAGGGCGGGCAGGGGGCTGGTAAGGCGGACCGCACGGGGTGATACAGCCTCCACGCACCCACGTTTCCATGACACTGTCTTCACACCCTGTGGTTTGGTGGGGTGCCTGCTCCTTGCGTTTCCCTCAGAGCAGATTCCTAGGGCCTTCAGCTGCACATCCCGGTAGAGTTTCCAAAGTACCTGGGGGCCAGACATGGGGTTGGCAGTTTCCTATTTTGCCCAGTAAGGACATTATAAAAAATAACTGCTATCTGCTATCTCCATCATTTCATACAAGAAAGGACATTTTAACACCAAGGACAAAATTTGAGAATAAAGGACAGTTCTTCCTAAGAAAGGGCAGTCGGCAGCTTGGCACTGACGTAGCAGAGGAAAAAATGTATTAAAACCATTCTGAATGTGGAAAAATTGCACCCAATTATACTACACAATATCATACAGTATAGAATTGTTTTCTCGCCCAAGTGTGGCAGTGTTTTAGGACGGACGCTCTACAGTGCAGTTCAGAACCGAGCCGAGTGTGAGTGCTCGGGCCTTGTTTTCCTCTCAGTCGTTTGAAAGCCCAGGCTCACCCAGCCATGCTGGCAGGACTGGATGTTCCGCTCTTGACACCACTGCCCAGGAAGGTTCTCGGCAACCCCAGCAAGGCTCACACAGGTCCCACCTGGTACTGCTCTCCCCCGTCTCCTCACTATAAGCTCTGTGGGGTCTACACCAAGGTTGGGGGGCTGGAGGCGTGGATCTGAGGCTGCTCTGCACCAGCAAGGACAGCGTAGAGCCTGAACAGCCTGCACCCCTGTGGGCTCGGGAGGCAGCTTGCTCCCGCCAGGAGTCTGTCAGGGAAGGGTCCTGGGCTTGGACAGCCGTGTGGTTGCAGGAGGGGCTCCCTAAAAATGTGCTGGTGATTGTGTGTCCCTTAGGTCTGCCCACTCTCTGGGTATCTGTGTCCTGGGTCCATGGCTACTGGCAGAAGCATTCAGGGAATTGGGTGCTTTGTTTTCACTCTCTCCATCTATGTGCTGTTCTGTGCACTGGAACCGTCCTGAGCTCCTCAGACCCAGACCCACAGGCCCCACGGAGTCCCGAAGGAAGGGCCATGTGTCTTGGTCACATTCAGGGAGGGGTGACCAGAACGCATGGCCAGAGTCTCATCCCAGACTGCAGCCTCTCGTGTCTGTTGGGAACTCACACCCCTTTAATGTCAGGGCCAGGGACTAACACCCCTATGACATCTACCACAATGGGGGACACCTCAGTGATAACGCACAGGGGGGGTGTACCCCCACAGTCTCTGTCAGGCAGCCACACCCCACCATGTCCATATCCTCACCTGCATGTACGTGACGTCTGGGCCAGACAGCAACACCTCCAGGTCTGCACCTGGGAGTCACTGGCGATACCGTACCAGGGTGCTGTGGGGGTCCGGCTCCGTGATCCCTTGATGGGCGCGCTGTGCAGCGGTGCCTGTGGGACGTCTGCGTCAGATGCGAGCCCTCACGTGCACGCCAGGAGATCCGCCGCCTCCGTGAGGCGTGGTGTGGCTGAGGTCATGTCCCCCGAGGGCTGCACTGGGGGGTCACACACAGGAATGTTGGTGCCTAGGAGTTAAACCTCTGATTATTATCTTCTTGTACCCCATGGTGCCGGTAATAGGCGCCCCTTGCCCCTGTCTTTGGGTTAATACTCCTCTGAGCGATAAACCCATGATCTTTGTACCAGGCCTCCAGATGGGGCTGTGTCAGCGGTCCATACCCCATGACAGCCTGGCCAGGCAGGTCACGCCCCATGTCTTCTGGGAAGTAGGAGGCCCCTGTGCTGCACCGCAGTGCCATGACGGCCAAGCTGAGACCCGGCCTGAGCACGTGACGGTGCAGGGCATCGCCCGGGGGCTGCCCTGCTGGCCTCCACCGCCTCTGTGGTCCCTGTCAGGACCCTAGGCGTGGTGACAATGGGGCTGACGCCCACCATACCTTCAGCTTTCTTCTCTTGGCTGCTCAGCTCCTCTCCCAGACGTTCCACACGATCGGCCTACAGCGGGTGAGACAGGAGAGGCCTGCGCACCATGTGGGCACTGCCAGGGAGGGCTCCTCCCTTTCTGCTTTGTGCTCAGCACCTGCCTCTTGTGCTCGGTACTGCCTGCTTTGTCCCAGCACCTTTGCTCACCCGCCATCTTCTGATCTCAGACCTTTGACTGTCCCGGTGGAGACTGGGGTTCAAGTTCCAGGTAGGGGCAGAGCCATCTTTACCTCTTCCTAGTCACTTGCCCTGTCACCTTGCAGATTCACTTATTGTGAGTCCCCTGGCACCTGGGTCTGACCATGGCTGTCCCACAAGAGTCCAGGGGACCATTGCAGAACCCCAGCGTGCTCACTGGCGTTCACTTCCCTCCGTGCCCTGTTGCGTTTTCAGAGCATTGATGTCAGCCAAGCAGCGGGCACTAGTCCAGGTCCTGGTGCGGGGCATGACAGAGCTCCCTCGGGAGCTCATCAGGCTGGGGGTGATAGCAGAGTCCGTACGGTGTGTCCCTGCTGAAGGCTCCACACGGGGCCTGGCACAGTTGCGGGGGGAGGGGGTGGTGGCACCCCAGGCAAGGAACCCTGTGAGCAAAGGCCTAGAGCTCATCTCAGTGCCCCTCACTCCCCATTCCTGTCAGCCTAGATGGCAGCTTCAAGCCAGCGGCTCCCTGAAGTTGCACTCACTCCTACCCTTGATGTGCACTAGGCGGCTAGGGCAAGGCAGAGGAGGGATGGGGTGAATCTTAGGGTCCAGCACCCCCACTCCTGGTCACTAGGACCTCCTTGTGGTTTCCCTTTAGAGTAGGAAGATGCCATGGGAATTGGGTAGGATGAGAGTGGCCAGGCTGGGCAGCTCCAACTTGTCGAGAGCACGTCCTGGCGAGCCCAGACGGGCTGTGGCTTTGGCTTCAAGCCTCTGATACCTGGGTCCTGTCTGCCACAAAAAGGCTGTGCTCTGAAGCCTGCGCTTGGCAAGGGGGTCTGGCTGTGCCTCCCCTCTCTGCGGGACTCTGGAGTCCCTGGTCTGTGTGAGTCTGCTGACTGCTCACTGCTTTCCGTCTCTGTCTTGTCCTTGTTTCTGAGCCCGCCTGGACCACACAGGCGGTCTCCACCTCCACCTGTGTGTCTCTGTGTCTCTCTGCCCCCATTTCCCTGTCACCGCCCCTGTCCCTTATGGAGGTGAATTAGAAATTCAAGGTATGGGGTGGACCACCCCTGTACATTGTCTGGTCTCAATGTCCCTCCACTCAGGTTTAGAAAATGACCTAGAGAGGCCTCTTGTGCTCTTACTACATTGTGACTATTGACTGACTCTTGGGGTCACTGGGAAATCAATGAAGAGTCAGGCTGGTCCCAGGGCTCAGATGGTCTGAGTGGTCATTGCACAGTCCAAGGGGCGGGTGGTTGATGTAGACCCTGGATGGTCATTGAGGGTAAGTGGGGGTGTGGTGGTGAGTAGAAGCCAGGAGATGGCTTGGGTGGGCAATAAAGGCATTGGCGGATACCAGCTGATTGACTCTGCCCTTCTCTCCATCACAGGTAGATTGTCCTGGGCTGTGGCTGGCTGTGGTGCTGGAGCCCTGGGTGGCCCCTGAGCCAGTCCCAGGGAGGATGATGATGCCCCTTGTGCCTGCACTTGTGATGCTTGGTTTGGTGGCAGGAGCCCATGGTGACAGTAAGTGTGACCCCTCAAGGTGTGGGATTTCCCAGGTTGAAAGTGATTTGTCGCCTAGCAGGGCCCTCAGGGGACAGCACCAGCTACTTAGGGGAGATGGGATAGCTCGATACCCTTCCAGATCTCCTGTTCTAAAGAGACACCCCCAACTCAGAGCTCCCCTCTAAGTGTGCCCAGCCCCATGCATCCCAGAGAAGGCTGGCATGTCCCCGAAGGCACTGCAGAGTGGGGCAGATCTAAAAGCGACCTTATTTTATGGGTGGGGGTGAGACATGTCATGGATTCATGTGGTCATTGCGTGACGTGTGGCGTGCGCTGCATGCCCCATTGCAGATCTTTGTAGACAGCACAGTGTGACCTGGGGGCACCATACAGGGATGTGCACGTGTGAATGGCATGCAGCTGTGTGCTCAGGTCCAGGGCGGGCTCAGAAGGGAGCTGGAGCCATCAGAGCTCCGTGGACAGGAGCCGCGGGTCCCAGGGCAGAGACGCTGACCCCTCCTTCCCCTGCCCAGGGACCTTTGAGTCAAGGGGGCAGCCTCTCTGCCCAGCCCTTCAACCCTGGGAAGCGGGGAAGACCACGTTTATCTAGCAAGAAGCTGGCGTGCGTGCATGTGTGTGTGTGTGTGTGTGTGTGTGTGTGTGTGTGTGTGAGAGAGAGAGGGAGAGAGAGACAGAGACAGAGATAAGAGACAGAGAAAGATGGAGGAAGGTGGGATGTTCCCTGCCCAGATCCAACTCCGAACTTTGGGTCCTCTCCTGTCTCCCTTCCCCCTGCCTGGCATTGAAGACTGGCCGCTGCCCGCCCTGTCACCATGGTTACCACTGCTTGGTTACTGGTGGGAGGCGGGGCACAGGGCAGATGTAGCCAATCTGCTAACCGAGGGGGAGGGGCAAGGCCAGAGCCAAGGTCCCTGGGGGAAGGGGCCGTTCCCAGCCTGTCTGGAGCCCAGCGGTGGCCAAGGGCCAACTCAGCGGTCAGCCTGGGGGTCAGCAGGCCATAGGGCTTCCCCTATTCCCCTCTCCGAGTCTCTGGGCAAAGATCTTGCCCCTTGCCCCACCCAGCTCTTTCTCCTAATGGCTCACTAATTATTCAGAACCAGATCTTGAAGCAGCCTCCTAAAGCTGTGCCCTCGGGAAGGGAAAAAGGAAGGGGTGACCATGGTTGAGGGGTGATGGGAGCAGGTGGGGTGAGAGGGTGGGGGTGACTTCCAAGCCTGGTTGGGGCCGCTGGGTTAGAGCTTCCGCCTGCCAGGGCAGGTGGGGTAAAAGTCGTGAGTGCGATTGCAGCGTTGGCAGGAAGGCACATGCTCATCAAGAGTCGGGGTGGTCGCCAGCCCTGGACACTGAGGTCCTGTCCTTGTCCCCCACCCTGTGCGCTTGAGGCAGTGGGAGCCCTACCTAACTGGGCTCGCAAGCGATACTTCCCAGGGGAGTAACTGCCTGCCCCCCTCTACTCCAGCGCCAACATGCCCCAGCCTGCCCCCCTCACTTCATCCCCCCAAACCTGCTTGTCTTCCTGTGTTCTCACTCCTAGTGAATGGCATTACCGCCCACCCAGACACCCAAGTCAGGAACCTGGGCTCCCTCCAGCCTCCTCCCTCGCTGTACCCCAATCTCACCCATCGCCAAGTTGTGTTGTTTCTGCCTCCTGGGTGTCTTTGGGGTGTATCCACTTCTTGCTCCGCTGCTTTCATCCAGGCACCCTCAGCTCTCTCTTGGGCTTTTTCAGCAGCCTCCTGGTCGCTTCCTGCCTCCAGTTTTTTCCTTCACAATCCATTCCCCTTTCTGAAGTAAGAGTCATGCTAAAGTGAAGGCCCAGGCGCTGCCCCTCCATTGAACCTCCTCTCCTCCCCCGGCACCTTGGATCAAGCCCAGGGGCCGCACCCCTCCAGGCTCTGCACTGCCCGCCTCATCCTTCATTATGGCCCCCGCCGTCCTGACTTCTCCGTTGCTCGAGTGCTGTCCAGGCCTCCGTCCCTCTGTCCCCTCTGCTCGGAACACTGCCCCTCCCTCACCTGACCGGTCGCTGCTCCCCTAGCCCTTACTACCCCCCTTACTTCCCCCCACGCATCCTCTCTGCTCACCTCGCATGAGTGTGACTGCCTGTTGGAGTCCTCAGTCTCCTGAGTCCCGGGGTTCAGACCCTTCAGAGTGAAGGGGTGGAGTTAGGCCGAGGGCCCCCAGTAGGAATGAGGGGGCAGGGTAGAACAGTGTTTGGAGCTAAATGCAGGAACCTCCACCTGCTGGCCCCTTAAGGGCCTTTCTGGGGTCTTCAAGGTGAGAACCGGCTGTAGATGCTGAAATAAGTGAATTGGGCGCCAGTCTGGAGGCCTGATGGAGGCACACTTCAGACCTGCCCTCCCTCCCCCCAGCCCTGCTCCCCAGGCGCCCCGGCTGGGGACTCTTCCAGCCTGGGGCAGGCGGGCAGACATGCCCATGGACAGAGAGCTGTGAAAGGTAGGGCAGGTGCCCCAGAGGATTGACGACTGGAGCAGTGAGGCGCAGAGCGGACAAATGCCTTCTGTAGGCCTCTTAACGAGACAAATGAATGGGGGCCCTGGCCTCTGAGGGGAGTGGAGGGAAGGGGGGTGGAGGAGCAGCTGCCAAGAGTTAGCCCACAGGCCGCAGGCATCAGTGCGGAGTCAGCGGGATGGAGACCTGGGCATTTGGGCTTGGGGCAGCTTCTGCCAGCCCAGGGCTTGGCTGCTGGGAGGGTTTGCAGAGCCGGGGGTGGGCCCATGCAGAGGAGCCGCTCCTGCTCGCTAAAGCAGACTTCGCAGCTGGCGTGTGCTGGAGGCGACACAGGCAGTGACCTGAGCGAACTTGGTGGAGGGGAGCTGGGGGGCATCCTGGGGGACGGAGCCCTGAAGGGTGAGTGGGCATTTTCTACTGTGGGGGTTGGGGCATGTTGCATAATCAGATGAGACTGGGGGAGGAAGCCAGAGCGGCCTGGTGTTCTCCATGGAGCCAGACAGCAGGGGGCAGGGGCCGGGGCCCAGGTGTGAGTTACGGCGTCTGTGTCTAGCTGCCCAGAGCAGGCTGCCTGGAGCCGGAGGGGTAGGGAGCGGGCAGGGACTCGAGCTAGCCCAGCCCCTCCTGCCCCCACACATGCACACACCCCACCACTGCCAGAGCCTGTGGACCCGGGCTGGTGGGTGCTACACACAGCTCGGCAGCGCCCTGCCCCTGGTCCACGTGGGGAGGCAGGACTGGGGCCCGGCTAGACTCTGCCCTCTGGAGCTTCTGGCAGGTAGCTTTCTCTCTTTGGGCCTGTTTCCCTATTGCACAATGAGGGTAATCACAGACTCTTACCTGGAAAGGTTAACTGAGGTCACGTGGACAAGCCACCTGGCACCTAACGTGTGTGTGCGTGCGTTCCCCACATCCGAGGCCATGACCTGGGGCTCGCTGTGCGCCCCCCCCCCGCCGCCCGAATCTAAGATTGGCCCCAGGGTCTCCCCTCTGGGGGACCACAGGAGCAGTCACGGGAGCCAGCATTAATGAGTCCCCAGTTCATTAGGCAGTTGGGGGAGCTCCCTCCCGTGCCTTTCAGTTCCTGGCTCTGTGTGTGTGTGTGTGTGTGTGTGTGTGTGTGTGTGCGCGCAGGTGTGCTCCACAGGGGAGGCACAGACAGAGGCTCTCCGTGGAGGCAGCATGCAGGTGGCCAGGTCTGGCGTTTGGCTGTCCCAGGGGCTGGACTTGAGGGGTGCGCCCACGGGCACCTGCTCCCCCAACTCCACTGGTTCCTTTCTTAGGCCACTTCCACCTGCCTCGCAGGGCTCAGAGGCCTCCTGGCTGGCTGTGTCCGAGAACATGCCCCTAAGAGCTACCCAAAAGGCACTGGTGCCTGTGACCTCAGTGCATGGGTGGCACCCGGCAAGGAGGGAGAGGAGGTGGAGACACGTGAGGTGGGGGCACAAAGCCTCCCGCCACGTGGCCTCGGGAGTTCTGTCCAGACTCCGCTGCACACCAGCTCTGGGTCACCTGGTAGAGCAGTCAGATCGCCTGGTTTGGCCCACCTTCCTGGAGTCTGCCAGTCACCACATTGGGTGACCAGCGCTGGGCTGGGAAACCCAGGCACTGCCCACATAGAACAGGCTCCCACAGGCTTGGGGGGTGCGGCCCATGGGAGGGGCAGGGCACCCGCAAAGCATGGAGGCAAGAAGGTGCCCATGGGCCTGGCCTGTCAGAGCAGGCTGGGGGAAGGGGGAGTCCAGCCGCCTAAGTGGGGTTCAGTGTTTGGCCCTTGGGAGATGCTCATTTTTGAGAGTCAAGAAAAGTGAACGCAGAGAAGTTAACTACACAAGAGGGGGAGAGGAATGGGGACAGGGACAGAGCTTATAGCTGGTGGAGTAGAGGGTCAGACCCTTGCTCCCCAGAGCCCTGGAGGACCTTCCTGGTGAACAAAGGAACAGGGCTTGTTTGGCTGGGTGGGCGTTGAGGTAAGCGTGAGCTGTGAGCTGAGCTTCGGCTCCGTGTAGCGTGTAGCGTGTAGCGGGAGGTGCCCTCTAATGGGTGGGATGGGGTCTGAGAGGAGCAGAGCTCGGGCTGGACTGAGGGGCAGGGCCTGGAGTCGTGGGGTTTGGGCGGCACTGCCAGTTGAGTCAGGTGGGTGGGCTGGGCGGGACCTGGCTCCTTTCCAGCCAACAAGGGGGGTTCTGCCTTCTCCAGGGCCCCAGGCATTGGGCCCAGCCCAGCCTCCACACCGCAATTGGGCCTTTCCCCTTCTTGCTGCTCTCAGGTGACCCATACCTGGCTCTCCTCCCTCGATTTCTAGTTCTTTGTTTGGTGCCGAGGCCCCGCCTCCCCTTCCCCCCCTTAGGGACTTGCTGGCCATTCCAGTTCAGCAGGTTCCAGCCTCTGTTTCGGCTGGGGACAGGTTGAGGCAGGAGCTGGAGGCAGGCTTCTCCTCAGGACTTGCCCCCCGCCCGTGGAGGGGGCTCCCCCGGTGTTGAGGGTTTCGGTCATGCCCCGCGTTCCCTGCCAGGTGCTCTTTAGATGGCCGCACCCCTTTGTGCCAGGACCTGGGCAGGCACAGGGACAGGGCAGGAAGCAGAGCAGGCATGGTGTCTGCCCAGCCCCAGGTCACTGTGTGAGGAAGCAGCTGTGAATCCCATACTCAGGCAAATGTGGAAAAAGTAATAACCTCATGGGTACACAGCAAGCATGAGCAGTGCTATTGAGAGACAGGAAATTACCAGAGAGTTAAGCACAGGAACTGAGCTAATGAAGGTGGGGTGAGGACAGGAGGACCAGGGAAGATTGTCTGAGGAAATGCTTGAATTGCGCTCAGCAGGTGAATCAGAGTTAGTAGGTAAAGGCTGGGACTGTTCCACCGAAGGGGCGCTTATGCTTATGCAAAGGCCCTGCGGCTGCAAGGACCGTGACTCGACCGCAACCAGCCTCTGGGAAGAGTGGGGGTGTTGAGTGCAGGTGTTGCTTTGAGAGCAGCAGGAAGCCCCGGGTGGGTTGTGAATGGGGGGCGACCTAATCACAGTTGCCTCTGGTTGGAACAGACATTCGGGGGTCAGGCCCAACTGAAGACTGGGGCACAGCTTGTTCAGTTGGTGGGGTTTCTGGTCGAGGGACAGTGGTTTCTGGACCAAGGTGGTGGTGGTGCTGAGGAGGGTGGGGAGCTGCCACTTGGAGGGCCCCAGAATATCAGCCCCAAGCCCAGTGGGCCAGGTCCTGTCTGAGAAGGCCAAAGCCTAGATGAGTAGGAGAGTCCAGAGCCCCCTTCAGAGGTCAGTAGGGGGGTGAATGAGGCAAGGCGAGGCTCCCCGAACCTTTGTATTCCCCATGCCACTCTGGCCGCCCCTAGCTTTGTGTTTTTCCCCCACTGAGGGTGCCCTCGGCTCCTCGAAGAAACCCAGAGAACAGCCAGCTACTCCGAGTCGCCTCCATCCCAGTCTCTGTCCTCCACTACTTCACCTTCCGAACCTGTTCTCCCCGCCTCTTAAATGGGGACTCTACTAACACCCACCTCACTGGGTTGTTTCAAGACTGAGCATGTTACTGAGGGACGGCCATCCTCACGGAGGTCCACCACGCGTCAAGCCTGTGTAGGCTGTTCATAGAAATCAGTCCTTTCGCCCACACAGACCCCGCTCGGATGACAAAGTGGCTGTTCGGGGATGGTCAGTGACTTGCTTAATAATTATAAAAGACTCGAAAGCCCACTGGGCCCTGGGGGTGTTCAGGAAAGTGTCCCCCGCTGCAAGCCAAACCCACCCTACTCTCCATATCTGCTCCTGACCTGGGGGGGGGGGGGCTGGACCTTGATCTCCTTGGAGACTCTGCCCCATCTGCTGTCACTCCTCTCTGCTGGCTCCTTCCTTTCAGCATTTAAACACTCACATCTTAGGAGGAAAAGGAAGCCCTGAAAGGCTCCCTGCAGCCCTCGTGCCCTCCAGCGTCCTCTTCCCTGTCCTCTTTGCAGTCCTCTCCGACTACTCTCTGCAGCTCTCCCTTCCACTCGCCCGCCTGGCGTCGGCCCCTGACGCACCACAGATCCTGCTTTGTACGTTGCCCCCCACACACACACCCCTCATTACGCCCTGTGGACTGCTTTCGCGCTGGGTGGTTCGAGCCAGACAGGCCCACACTCGGGTCTCGCAGGTGCCACTCAGTGGCGACGTGACCTCTGAGCAGCGAGGAGGAAGCAGGCCAGGACAGCCTGGCGTGGCAGGCGCCCGGTGGGGCCGTCGTCAAGGCACACGCAGGCTTGTGTTGAGGGGCCAGGCCCCGCCTGGCCTCACTGGCGCGACAGGTGGTCTGAAAGGTCATTTCTCACGGTACTAGCCTTCCTGGAGCTGTTCATCGGCCTGATTAATAGGAAATGGATCCGCTGTCGGGATTAACGAGGCGTCGCTACGTCTTAATGAAGTCTGGTTTTCTCTTGTCTCGTGACTGTGTGGTGGGATTCCTGGAGACAGGTGCTGCAGGTTGCCCCTGGAATGTGTGTGTCAAGGTGATGTGGGCAGGGCAGTGCCACGTCTGAGCCCCCTCCTCCCCCTGCATCCCTGTGGGTATCTTGGGGAGACATCGAGCTGTCAGAAGACAAACATCCTGTCTGAGGGGTGGGGGAGGGGCAGACTTACAGTAAAGCGTTCACCTGGGAAGACGTCCAGAGATACTTAAGAGGTGGAACGTCTAGGCCTTCGGGCCTGCTGGTATGCGGAGGCAGGGGAGAGGAGGCGTCCTGGTCTCTGGCTTGAGCCTTCCGGTAGATGAAAGCACCACCACTTAAATGGAGAGCAGCAGAGCAGACGGGGGCACATCTGGGAGGCGCTGGGGCTGTGCCTGGCAGGGCTCACACCTCTTATCTTGGAGCTTGGAATCGATGGGGGATGGGAGACGGGGGCGCAGTGGTCAAATGGGGCACTCCAGACTCAGGCCGCCTGGGTTCAAATCTCGCCTCTGCCACCAACTTGCCAGTTGTGTTATGCTGGGCAAATCCCTCCATCTCTCTGTGCCTGATTGTCTCTTCTATAAGCAGAGGGCATTAACAGCTCTCACCTCATTCGTCCACAGCCCTTTGAATGGCAGCACTGTGCAGGGGTGAGGTGTCGCTGTCATTTCCTCTCTAGGCTTTTCTCTGTCCCCCGCCCCACAACTGCCACCTGTAGGATTGGCCGTGTCGGAAGCGACCACACTGGGTAACGGGGTGTCTCCATCTCTCCAGGCAAACCTGTCTTCGTTAAGGTCCCTGAGGACCAAACTGGGCTGTCAGGAGGGGTGGCGTCCTTCGTGTGCCAAGCTACAGGGGAGCCCAAGCCACGCATCACATGGATGAAGAAGGGGAAGAAAGTCAGCTCCCAGCGCTTCGAGGTAGGTCCTAGGGCGGCGAGGGCAGCTGCGCTCGAGATCTGTCTACGCCAGCGTCTGGTCCTGCCGCCTGTCCTTGGGTCTCCCTCCCTGGGCCCCCCTGGAGACTGGAGGTTGACTGGCCCTGAGCAGGCACCCGATGCCAAGCAGGTTGTGACCGCCTGTCTGTCCCCCGGCAGGTAATTGAGTTTGACGATGGGGCAGGGTCTGTGCTGCGGATCCAGCCTTTGCGGGTACAGCGGGACGAAGCCATCTACGAGTGCACAGCCACCAACAGTCTGGGCGAGATCAACACCAGTGCCAAGCTCTCGGTGCTCGAAGGTACGTGGTGTGGTGGTGGCAGGTGCGACGTGTGGCAAGAGCCAGCCAGCCGTGTCCCTGCGGCGGCTGCCGTGCTTTTGGCTGTCTCGGGGTTAGAGAAGGTCAGCAGTGAACAGGGGTGTGTCATGGGATCTGACCTGGATCGTGTGGCGTGTCCTGAGGCCAGCTATGTGCAGGCTGGTGTCTTGGTATTCTGCTGAGCTGGGGCCCTGCCCAGGCGGGGAGAAATCGCTTTCTCACTTGAGGTGTGGGGTTGCAACTGTATGCCGTGGGTTCTGTGGTTGTGGCAGTGGACTGGCTTCTACGTGGAGCCTGGCGGTTGGCTTCAGGGAGGTGTCTTCCCTGTTTCCCCGTGTGACCTGGGCTGGAGTTTCGGGCTCCAGGCTCCGTGTGTGGATTTTAGTGTCTTTTCTCTCTTGGTGGCTCTTCTGTTTCCTCGCAAACACTCTAATGAGGCCTTGGAGGCAGAAGGTCACCTGACCCAGCAACGGCCCCGGGGTTTGAGGAGCACAGCCCTGAAGGAGCTGTTGCCTGAGCCAAATACTGATGACATGTGGGGGTTCAGGTGGGGCCCGGGCAGAAGGAACAGCATCAGCGGGTGCTGGGGTCAGCGGCAGGAAAGAAGGTAGCTTCCGGGGACTCTGAGTAGTTTGGTTTGGTTTTGGGCAGGAGTGGAACTGGTGGAACAGAGAATGGCGGGAGAACAGTTGGGCACGCCCCTGGAGATGACACAGGACTCGGCTGAGACATGGGAACATTTTCTGGGACATAGGAAGCCATGAACCTGCTGGGGAGTGTCATGACCAGACCCCAGCCATGATGAATCCATCAGTGCGAATGTGTCTGTGCATTTTCAAAACCCAGTGTTGATTATTTTTTTTAAGAGGCAATAACAATACCTGTTTGCTGATGAAATGTTGATAAGTATAAAAGAGCACATAGGAAAAATTAAAATTACTTGTTATCTTACCTTTATTATTAACGTTGGTTATTTCCTTATCGTTCCTTTCCTGTGCATGCATTGTAACAAAAATGAGATTGCACGCTGCCCGTGATTTCTAGGCTGCTTTTTTAAAAATTGTCGTGAACATCTTTCTCACCATTAAATGCTCTTTTGCATCATTATTTTTAATGCCTGTGGGTAAGTGTCACCTGGAAGTATCCCAATTTATTTAGCCATTTCCTTATTGTCGGGTGCATATGTTGCTCCCAGTTTTTTGCTTTTATAAATGAGGCTCTGTGTGTGTCGTGGCAGAGAGGGGATGTTCTCCTGCCTTGTTAACTCTCTCGGTCTCCATCGTGGATGTAGGATTGCTCTATCAAAGGTCACGGGCACTTCTAAGCCTTTTGGTATTTCCAGAAAACTGTGTCAGTTTACACTCCCGCCAAGCAGAGCAGAAGAGGGCCTCTTTTCTGCACATCCTCACCAGCAGCGGGAATTACCATTAAAAAAAAAATATTTTTGCCAAGTTAATAAGCAAAAAATGGCATCTTGATTTAATTTGCATTTCTTTGATTACAGAAACAGTTGAGTGTCTTTCCATATTGGCCATTTTCTACTGTGGCTTTCTGTTGACACACGTCCATTTGGTCACTACTTTTTGTCTGTGGGGCCCCCCGTCCTCCAGGGGCAGTGGAGGACAGTGGTTAAGAACAGGGACTCTGCACCACTTCCTCTGTGGCCTGGTGGCCTTGGGCACGTAACTGTGCCTCTGAGCTTCATTTGCTCTGTCGTTACACGGGGATGTAATACCTACTGCCCAAGCTGGTTTGGAGGATTAAATATGATGTCGTTAGCTAAGCACTAACTGCAGGATGCCAGGGTGAGTGGCAGCTGCACATCCTAAGGGCCAGATGTGTGAGCTGGCAGTAGCCGGGTTCCATGCTGCCTGGCATTGTTGGGGTGGCGCAGGGGACTCTTAGCTTTCTTTGGGATGGGGCCCAGAGGACAGGCCCTGGGCTGGGTGCAGCAATTGCTGCATGCTCTCAGGCTCTACCGGCCCCCCGACCTCAGTTTCCCTACCATGTGACCTGGAGACAAGTCTTTTATCCCTGTCCTTCCCTCTGTTGGCATTTGCCCCATTAGGGAGCCATCTGACCAGCCCTTGCAGTTTGCAGGTGACTCAAGGGCCAGAGTTGTGGTTCCTGCCCTCCAGGGCACCTGTTCAGGTTCTCAGGTTAGGGAAGGAGGGAGACTCTTTGTTAATGTTGAAAACCCTACCCATCCCCCAACTCTGGCTTGGATTCGCTCTTCAAATCCTATGTGGGTTTGTCAGCCCCCACCAGGGACCTGGACACTAGCTTTTAAATTGAGAAGGGCAAAGGCCTTGATTTTGTAGGGCCTGGGCTGGGGCGGGGGGCTCGTATTTCAGAGTGGTCTATCTGGAGGGGCCTTTGGGATATGTTTGGGTTCCTGGGGTTTGAGAGGTGTCTCATGAGAGTTGGGAGAGTGTGGCACCTCCTTGCCTGCTGGGAGTGGGGCTGGGGGCTTGTGTGAGCCCCTCCTGCTCTCAAAACACAGCTCCACAGCTCCCGGAAGATGACATACTGACTTACATGCTTGATCTGTGTAACCTTGACCAGTTCTGGGCTTGGCGGAAAGAAGTGGAGTGAGAGGCCTCAAAGGTGCCAGGAGGTGGGGCCCCCGGACAGCGGCCCAGCCTGTGACCACCCCCACCACGCCCCTAGCTCCACCCTCTTGTGGGGGGGCTGGAGAAGTTGGCATGTGTGTAGGAACAGGGTGAAAGGATGTTTTGACCAGAGCCGTGGGCTGAGGCCATGGAGAGCCAGGGCCATTCCTAGGAGGCCTCTGCAGGCTCTGGGGAGGGTGGGGAGAGGATGAAGCTGCTTTGGGGGGCTGGGAATAAGAGTTGAGTCCCTCACCAGGTCACACAGTGCTCCTGCCCTCAAACCCATGGCTTGCAAGCACATGCTGGGTTCAGGGGTGTAGCTGAGGGTCAGTGGATCCAAAAGGGGGAGCCCCCAGTGTGCAAGGCTATCCAGTGCCCCCTACCCTGCCTTGTTCCCAGAGCACCAGGCCGCCCGCCGCCGCACTCACACCGAACCCCTGGGAGCGGCTCCCTCCTCATGGCCTTTGCACCCAGTTCCCCAGACTGACTGCCCCTCCCAGTGTTCCAGTGAGCCTGGCTGCCCTGGGGTGCCCAGCACAGGCTGGCTGGGGGTGAGCCTGCCCAGGGCTGTGAGGAGTGAGGGCCCCACCACCCTGCGTTCCTGTCTGAGTGGTAATTGAAGCCATTAGCGCACCAGCCTCTCCCTCCCTGGGTAATGGCAGGAAAAGCTCTTCTCGCTCTGCACTCTTGAGGCGGCAGCTGAATCACTCCCCCTCCAACCCGCCCTGCCGCCACTGAGACAGGGAATCTGACATTTTCTCTGTGGAGGGAGGGGAGAGGAGGAAGGAGAGGCAGGCAGGCCTCGCTTCCTGGCCTTTCCCTCCAGAAGGTGGGGCCAGTGAGGGTCTCAGAGCTCTGTCTGGAAGTCATGGTTTCACCTGGGGCAGCGGGTTCCAGGCCAGGCCGGCCAGCGGTCAGGAAAGCCCTCAGAAGGAGACTAGATCACAGACGTGTGGGCAGGGCAGCATGCCTTGGGTAGTTTCTGGATGGGACTAGGAGGGGGAGGGAAGAGGAACAGGGCCAGGAGTAGGGTGAAGGACCTGCTGTTGTCCTGGGGCCGCAGCACTGAGGGCTCCACGTGGCAGGCCACAGCGTCTGCTCGCGGTCGTGGATGGAGCAAATACGCGCGCTGTGGCCTGGTGCCCTCGCAGGGCTGCGGCGGCGTGAGCACGAGGTTTGAGCTGTGCACGGGGAGTGTGCCCTGTCCAGCCAGGGGCGTGCGCCTGCGCGTGGGAACAGCTCGCAGCGCACTGTGTGTGCACAGCAGGTGTGTGCGTTGTGCGTGTGTGCGCAGGCTGGGTGTGTGCGGCACATACAGCAGCTGGCTTTGCCGTGTAGCTGCGACGGGCAGTGTGGACGTGCGTGCGGCAGGTGATGGGCACCGTCGGTGTGTGTATGTGTCTGAGCACGCACGCAGCAGCAGTGGTGTAGCGTCTGGGACTGTGTGTCCATCAAGGGGGGTGTACAGAAGCACGCTGGAGCCGAATGTGTGGGGTCAGTCTGGCGATGTGGGAGGTGAGAGAAGCAGTCTGGCTTCATTGTCTCAGATTCCACGGGAATCCCTGCTCAGAGCTGTCGTCCACGGGGGCAGCCCTTGGACATGGACACAGGACACGCTGGCTGAGCCGTTCTCATGGCTGCGGTGGCCCCTCAGCAGTTCCGTGCCAGGCACACCAGGAGGGAGGTACACCGGAGCGGGGTCCTGCCCAGACCTTGGCACATTCTCACCTCCCCCCTCTCACCTCCCCCGGCCCAGGTTCCGTCTCACCTGTGTGTCTCACCTGTGTCGTCTCACCTGTGTCGGGGCCAGGAACTTAGGTGCCTGCATGGAGCACCTGGTCTTGCCCGCCTGGTCAAGCTAGGGGGCGCTGTGGGGGTCAGCTGTCAGGAGTGTCATATAATGACGAAGATAGAGGGGCAGCCAGTGCCAGGCCTGGACCCCAGATCTGTCCGTGGCTCTGATCCGGGATGCCTGGGCAACCCATGGGTGATAAAGGCCTCTTGGGATTCCCCGCTGCACGCCCTCTCACACTCACAGTTCCTTTGGAAATGGTTCCAGAGACGTGAGGGCTGACGGGCAACATCTGACCGAGTCCTCAGATGACCTGGTCTGGGCCTATGTCTGGAGCAGAGCCAGCAGGGGAGCTTTGTTCTAGGGTGGGTGAGTGTTTGCCCAGGAAGTCTTCTCTCCCTGCCATGCTCTCCCTGCCCTGGCCCAGGCCTGGCGTAGGGGTGGAGCATGAGGAGAGGGCTGCTGCAGCAGAGGGTGAGTTGCGGGGACTGGGTGTTCTCCCCTGCTGTTTTGTGTCCGGGTGGCGGGTTGGCTTGCAGAAGCCACCCACGACCCAGGCCAGCACCTAGGACCCAGGC